GTTATTATTATAGTATTAATTCATTTCATTTTGTAAGGACAATGTAAGGAGCTGAAATAAAAAGTCATCTGAAAAATAATTACTCCAGTAAAGTATAAATGACCTAAATTTCTACTTAAGTTAAGCTGCAAAGTATTTGTACTTTATTTTACACATCCGATTTTATTTCTCATCACATGATGAAAGGATGTGATTTTTTTTTTTTGCCTGTGTGTTTGTGTTCTCAGTTATCATTATCTCTTTAAAGACATTCCTGGAATAATCACCTATAGCTTCTCAGGATCTGCAGTCTTTATGGGGATCAACGCCCATTTTTTTTTTCTTTTACAGTGGAACGTAATTGACAGGTGATGGGTAAGGTTTAGGGCTAAGGTGTGAATTGTGTGTGGGGTGGAGTTTGTTAGGGTGGTGGAATGCACTAAGGGTGGTTTGAAACAATGTTAGGTTATAAACGGAAGTCGGTACAATGTGCTTGAGTTTATCTGTCTGTCTTTTAGCAAAATATTTTGATCTCATGGGCAGATCTAAATAAAAGTATTAACTGGATGTACGTCCAGAACTAATTATTTTTTGGAGTTGATCCAGTTCATGAATGTTGCCATAACACAAAAGTGATCATACCGAGGTTAGTTTTTACCAATTACCTAATCCTCAACACATGTGCTAACAGAGTGCAAAATCATTGAATAAAAATTTGGAACCAGATTTTATGAACCACAGAGAATATTCTAATGAAACTACCAGGAAATAATCATTTGACCAAAACTCTTTCCATCTCCTCTTATCATATGATGATGTCTGTTTTAAAACCCTGGCATGAAAAGCAACAGATTAGATGCATCTTTAAACATATGTATGTACAGTGTTTGCATATTGCTATGAGAAGACATTTTCAGAGGTGGTTTATTGGTGCAGAGTAGCAYTGTTGTCTCGGGTGAAAGATCCCGGCCTGGGTGGAGTTTGCATGTTCTTCACCTGTGGGCTTTTTCCAGGTCCTCCGGTTTCCTTTCACAGCGTGTGAATGGTTGTTTGTCTCGGTGTGTTCCTGTGATGGACTTGCAACCAGASCAGGGTGTACCTTGCCTCTTGCACAGGGACTGCTGGACATGAGCACCAAAAGCAGGCAAAGAAAATGGRTGGATCTTTGAGAAATATTCTCTCATTCTTTCCAAAAGTGTGTTAATTTACTTGCAAGTTCTTCTACTGCTTTTTTTTGCAATAGTTTTCCCCCCACCATTGCTGTAGAACTGTTCACTGATTAAACAAATAAACAAACAAACAAACAAACAAACAAACAAACAAACTACATTGCCTTCATGGCTCTCCAGTTCAGGGATTTTCCATTAGTTTAATATATTGCTTATGAAATTCTCAAAATTTTACTACAATGGTAAATATGGACTGAACTTACATAGTTAATTTTACCACATGTGAATACTGGCTCAAGTAACACACCATTAAATTTTGGTGATGTTCCGGATCACGATGTRGATACCRGCATTTTTTTTTCTTTTRACACTCTGAGATCGGCAAAGCTGGGATGCTTTCACAGGGCTTCTGTAAAAAACACTGACCTGGATTGGACAGCATGGACTTCTAAGTTTATAAAATTAATGTTAAAACCAGATTAAATGATGAATAATTATTGCCATAATGTGCACATTTTTACGCAGTTGGTGCGCATTTAGAGAACGTTTTGTGACCAGGAAGTGTGTGACTGCACCWAACGATTTTTTTCCCATTTCCACAAACACACCACTTTGTCGGAAGTGTTGTGTCTTGTCCTAAGACTGAAGTCGCATGTGTGATGTCATATCTGTGAGACAGCTGTCAGTCCTGACCTGAAATTGCCAAGGGACTGGTGTGTGATTTGGGAAAACGTGTTGGTCTGTCTGTGGACAGCATAACTCAAAAACGTGTGGACGGATTATCATGACATTTACACCACATGTTCAAACTAGCACACGTAACACACCAATAAATTTTGGTGATGTTTCGGATCACAATGTGGACACAGGATTATTTCTTTGAATTCAAGCGAATCAGCCAGAAGTTGCGTGCTCTCCTAGCCCCGCACAGAACTTCAGGAATGTGTTGCTACGTTACGGGAATAACTGAGAAGCCGTGGGCGCAACCGAGCCGAACCTGGTACCGGCCCACGAGCTGAACCACCAGTCCCCCGCCCGTCGTCTGCGCGTGGTGGTTCAGTTCAGCCTCTGAACCACCGGCCCTCTGACCTGCGTCTGGGCCGGTGGTTCAGTGCATGAACCGGCCCACAGGCTGGAGTGAACCACGGCGCGCAGACGACGGGCGTGGGACCGGTGGTTCAGCTCGTGGGCCGGTACCAGGTTCGGCTACTAATAGCTCAGAAGACGAATTTGAAAAGTCTTCCAGCTACATCTAACAGAGATGCGCAGTCAGAGAAAGAAAAAAATGTAAACATTCTTAGTGAATGCTGACAAGCTGACATCAATATTTGATAAAGAGAAGAAACAGCATGCTATGTGGGTTCCTAAACCTCCCACTAATGGCCACTGATCGCTCAGAAGGTGAGCAAATACAAGCTTTGAGGTTGGAGATCCCACACTGACAAGAGAGTTGTTACCCTCCAGGAGGCTCAGCAACCAGCTGGATTACCTGCATTTGTAACAAACCGAGGTGTTGCAACTTTCCTGATGCTGACACTAACTAAAATGTAATGAGTCACGCATGCCTGCTCGAGTCTGAACAGTGTCGCAGCTGCAGCTAACAATTGCCTTTCATTCACATGACTCAACAGTCTCCTCTGGACTTCAAGTCGTGACTGTAACTTACAAGTTGAAGTGGTTAAATCCACCACAAAGTAGGGCAAAAAAAGGCAGTGTTTTAAGTATTTTGACAAAATATCACTAAATGTGATTCTGAATAAGTGGACAGCATTTTTCAGATACAATGGCAGAGGATTATACACTGCCTGGCAAAAAAAAAGTCCCCACCAAAGAAAAAAAAAAGGTCATAAACCCACCAACATTTCACTGGACCGCCTTTAGCTTTGATTATGGCACACATTAGCTGTGACATTGTTTCAATGTGCTTCCCAGACCTGACTAACTGCAGCAACCTCAAATCATATCACTAGCCCCACAGGCTTGCACAGTAGGCACTAGTATGATGGGTACATCCTCGAAGATAATGGGTCCCCACTATYTTTCCAGTTTTTAATGTGTTGGACAGTTCTTAACCCAATTTTAGTAGTTTCCTTAGATGTCTTCTCTGCTTGATGCATGCCAATGATTTGACTCTTCACAAACAGACGGACATCTTTTCTGAACACAGGATGTCTTTCAACATGTTTGTTTAAGAAATGAGAAGCGACTCATTGCACCAGATGGGGTTAAATAACTTGTTGCCAGCTGAAACATAATTGTCCATGCAGTAATTATCCTATAGGAGGCTCGTACCCTATTTGCTTAATCCAGGTGGTGACTTTTTTTTTTGGTCAGGCAGTGTATTTATTTCAACTAGCACCTTGTTTTGCATTGAAGTGACAGCATGACGACTCGGTGGAAGAAGGTCTTGGGTTTGATCCCCGATTCGGACCAGGGTATTTTCATGTGGAG